TATATCCATTATCAATATAGAAACAACAAACAACTAATTTGTGAACATTGCATAATTCTTGTTAGGTACTATAGAGATTTATAATTTTAAAGAATCCATATATCACTGCAATTCTGCTCCAAAGAGCAGAGATACTTTTAGTTGCCCCATAATTCAATGTAATATCAATTCGGTGAAAAAGTCCCATTCTCTACTCTGAAAAGATGCTCAGCCTAGGGTTGCCAAATGCAGAATGCCGAGTTAAACATGAATTTCATATGAACAATGAATAATTTTTAGCATAATTAGCTCCAAAATAATGCATGAGACTTTTTTATATTAAAAAGCTATTCATTGTTTACATAAAATTCACATTTAACTAAGTAGCTGTCTTTTTATTTACTAAATCTGGCAATCTCAGCCCAGGCTTTCTCAGGTTTTTTAATGATGCTCCCAAACTTTATTGGTTTGAGAGCCCATTATACATGTAATCTGAATTTACAAAGAAGGGCTAAGTTAAGAATGTAGATACTGGAATTAGACTGCCAAGACTCAAATCCCAACTCTACTGCTTCTGAGGAATAAGGTTTTGAATAAATTCCTTAACATGTCTGGGCCTATTTCTTCATCTATAAAATGGGCTGAATTAATTAAATAATGAACTTAAAGGGATTAACACTGTCTAGTGTGTATATCTGTTCAAAAATACTTATTTTCAGTCATCTGGAAAAAACAGGCTGAAAGTATTAAGTAGGCACTACTAAATGGAAAATCATATGTGATAACAAAATAAGATTACAAACAGGACAGCACATTGAGGGAGTAAATCACTGCAATCCAGCAAACACAGTATTGAGAATACATACTTCTACATATGTAACGTGTAGGAAACAATCTGGTATGGCCCTATTGAGAGAATTGCTACTTCCAGGCTCTAATTAGAAAAAATAGATTTGAAAAGGCTAGAGAGAAAACAAAATGTTAAAACCAAAAGAAAAATGTAGTTAAAAGATAAAGCTCATGGGTTGACCACAAGAGAAGCAGAAGGGAAATTTAGCAACTTTATTTTTATAAAAGCTGCATAATGGTTGGCTAGGTATTCTCTGATTCTTCAGAGACCAGAGAAGGAAATTAGCTTGCAGAATACAGTGGTTTTTAAGATTTTACTTAAGACTGGCTAAAATTTGAAATGGGAAGTAGTAGCTTTCTGCAAATAGAAAATAAATGCAGGGATAAGCGTGGGTAATTTTTTTTTCCTCTGATGGTCTTCAGAAATCAGGGAGATTCTGTGGTTTAAATGTCATTCTATGTATATGAAAGATCAGTGATCTCTAGAGGCCCTCCCCAAGTCTAGGGTTCGAGAATCTATATTGACATTTCAGAAGCCAGATGTGACAATGTGTTTGCTGAGGGGTTGCTGTCATGGCTACTCTACCTGAATTCATTTAAACTGGAACAGGAGCATTATTTCTCCATTTTTCTTCAGAGCCAAGTAAGCAGGCAACGGTAATTTTCTATTTTATCTTTTTTTATTCCCCCAAGATAGTAAGCTCAGAAGGAAACAATTTTAAAATCCAAAAAGGTTTTTTTCATAATTCATGGCCTTACACTACAGGGGTAAATGTTTTAAAAGCTTGATGTCATTAATGGTGAATAAGTATACTAGGTTTTAGATTGTCTAAGAAATCTACTCCTGTAGATATTTGGCTTTTTAATCTTTCTTCTTTTCCCCTTTAGCTTTGCAAACTATTGAAGAAATTTAAAGACAGTTAACTAGTAATAAAGTGATTTTAGACCTGTATTTTTCAAAGATTAGGTAGTAGGGAAGGATGAAATGTTAAACTAGATGTTTTACGTTCCAGGAAGAGGAAGAGAAGAAAGTAATATAATAAGAAGAAAAAGGTGGAATAAAGTTTATTCAAAAGCACAGCAAACAAAGAAATTGTTACCCACACCCCAAGGTTGCGGGTTCTATTTTCAGTCAGGGCACATACAAGAAGCAACCAATGAATACATAATTAAGTGGAACAACAAATCTCTCTCAATATTCCTTTCTCTCTCTCTCCTTCCATCCCTCCCTCTCAAAAATCAGTAAATGAATAAAAGTTAAAACAGGAGTAAAGAAATTGGAAAATGTGAAGTGATAATGAACTGGAGTCACCATGATCTTTTTGTCCTTGTTTCCATTTTCATAAAGTCATAGAATGTTAAAAATAAAAACCATATTAGAAACAAATTCATAGTAAAGCCAGTGTTACTCATCTTGGTCTGCCCAAGGTACCTTTTTTCAGAGAAATGCCTCAATAAATATTGACTGATGGATAAATGGGAGTGGGCAGACTCACACTCATTGAACATTTGCACCTGGTTTGGGGGGGAGCAGTCTTCTAAGTGTGTAACACGTTATTTTTTTTTTAAGTTTTTTTAAAATGCATTTTGCTCCGAAACCGGTTTGGTTCAGTGGATAGAGCGTTGGCCTGCGGACTATGGAACCTGAAGAGTCCCAGGTTCGATTCAGGTCAAGGGCATGTACCTTGGTTATGGGCACATTCCCAGTAGGGGGTGTGCAAGAAGCAGCTGATCAATGATTCTCTCTCATCCATGTTTCTAACTCTCTATCCCTCTCTCTTCCTCTCTGTAAAAAATCAATAAGATATATTTTTTTAAATTTTTAAAAATGTATTTTGCGAGAAAAAGGAAGGGAGGGAGGGACGGAGAGAGACATTGATCAGCTGCCTCCTGCACAGCCCCACCAGGGATCAAGCCCACAACCCAGACATGTACTTTGACCAAGAATCAAACCAGCAACCTTTTGGTGCACAGGATGACGGCCAACGGCACCACATCAGCCAGGGCTGTACCATGTTCTCTTGATTGATTCTTATTGAAACTCTGAAGGGAATATTGACTCTATTTTATGAATGAAAAACTGAGAATTTCAGTAACTTATACAAGATCACAGTTCAGTAGCAAAACCAAGATTCAACTTGTGCCACTCCTATGCCACCTCTATCCAATCTTGCTACCACTACCTTATTGGCTTGAAAGTTTAAATCCCTCTCCTAATGCCTTTTTGGGAGCTACACACATGTATGCCATGATGGCTAAGGTTGGGGAGTAGACCTGACCTGTGTTATTTTCCAAATAGCATATCACTTTAAGCGTTTCATGCTCACCCAATCCTTGCTCTACACACATTCCTTCACTATGGTTCCCATCACTGTAATCCCCTTGTTCCTCCCACCACTGATGGCTGGCTAGCACCCTTCAACGCTGTATCTATAGCAAACATCTCTTATATTCACACCATGAAGGGCTATTCTTGTCATTGTTAAATTTTTATCACTTGGGCAGGAATAGAAATTAAGTCCAGAAACATTTGAAAACAATGTCTCCTAATGTCTCTGACAACCCTAGTTTTGTGTGCCTGGTAAATGGAGACTTCCCCGAAAGAAGTCCTTGATGGCAAGGACCCAAAGTGATCTTCACAGAGAAGAGCATGTGAAATTCCATTTCAGTCCCTGAGGTCCGGGAAGAGGAGGAGCAAAGAAAGTAAGAATAATTGCCCTTACTTTTCCAATCACCTCAAGGCAACCTGCAGAACAAACTGGAGCCCTTTCTCCAACATAACATCATCCCACTTTTTTTTTTTAATATATTTTGATTTTTTTTTAAATATATTTTATTGATTTTTTACAGAGGGGAAGAGAGAGGGATAGAGAGTTAGACAATGAGAGTCACGGACCAGCTGCCTCTTGCACACCCCCTACTGGGGATGTGCCAGCAACCAAGGCACATGCCTTGACCGGAATCAAACCTGGGACCTTTCAGTCCGCAGGCCGACGCTCAATCCACTGAGCCAAACCGGTCTCGGCTATATTTTGATTTTTTACAGAGAGGAAAGGAGAGGGATAGTTAGAAACACTGATCAGCTGCCTCTTGCACACCCCCTACTGGGGATGTGCCCACAACCAAGGCACATGCCCTTCAACCTGGGACCCTTAAATCCGCAGGCCGACACTCTATCCACTGAGCCAAACCGGTTGGGGCACCATCCCACTTCTTTAAGTTGAACTAATATTTGACAACAGTACAGTCAAAAGTGATCTCTACTTGCCCACGGCACCCACTATTCCACCATCTGCCAAGTGTAGTTTTTACCTTGTTAGTTTAGTCCCTGTGCTGGCTGGCTCCTCACCCCGTTCATGACCACCGCATTGCCTGAGCTGCACCCAGGGGAGCTCTGACAGGCGGCTTCTGGCCACTGGAAACAGGACACCCCCATGAGGCATGCTGCAGGTCAAAGCTACACCGGCTTTTGGAAACGAAACACAATAAAAAGAAATTAAAATGTCTCATTTGAAGTTTATTGGTTACAGGTTGAAACCTTATTTGGGTTAAACACAATGTATTACTAAGCTTTTTTACTTGGTAGGTGCCTCGCCGACATTTTAAAACTTCCTATGTGGCTCCCATGTTTCTTGGACAGCACTCGTCTAGGAGGATGACAGGAGGAAACCAGCCGTACACGGGAGAATGCCGAGTCTGTTACGTCTCTCAGCGGCTCCTCACAACAATGAGATACAGAAGCGATGGCCCCCGCCGGAGCTGCTTCGGATCCCAATCCCTGCGCACAGAAATCCTGGTTCGCAGCTCTCCCAACGGCAGCGACGGCAAAACGGGAGGCGTTTGGATGGGAGCAGGCCGCGTGTTTGGCTTCAAGAAGGCCCTGCTCGGGCCGGGCCTCTGAAGGGTCTCCAGCGGCACCGGCACGACGCCAGGGAGACCAGGTGCCCAGCGGCCGCGGTGCCCATGGCGACCCTCCCCAAGATGGCCGTCCCCGAGGGGCGGGGCCTCGGTTACCCGCCCCGCCCCGCCCCCGCGGCGCCCAGTGCCCATTGGGTGAGACGATTCGGACGTGAGCGCTGATTGGGCCATACAGAGGCGTCAGCTGGGCTGGACCGGAAGGCGGCCTCAGACCCGGGGGGCCGGGGTCTGAGTCTCCCCGTCGGTCCCTGGGGATGTGGAGAGCTAGCAGCATGTCGGCGGAGCTGGGAGTCGCGTTTGCTCTGCGGACAGTGAAGGAGCGCGTGCAGCAGGCGGTGGCGCGGCGGCCGCGGGTGAGGAAGGGAGCGCGTGGGGACGGTGGGCGGCCGCCGTGAGGAGGGGGACACCTGCGTGGGAACAGGTCGTCACGGTGACGCAGAGGGCGCTCCCGGAGGGGCGGGGCCGTCCGCCGCCCTCGCTGCGGCACGGGCTGTAAAGCCCCAAAAAGCTAGCCAAGGGCTGGCTCCCTCGGCGGCCTCGAGAGGAGGCTGGCAGGTCTCCTGGAGTTGGCTTACTTGCAGCAGAAGGTGGCCGCCATCCCGGGGAAAGGACCGACCCCCAGGCCTCGCGGCTTTGGCCCATCCCGCTTCGTGTAGGAATCAGCAACCTTAGCGGCCGGGAGAAGGGTCGGGCCTGTGCCCAGCAGCTGCAGGAAAAGACGTCTCCTACCAGAGCACCCCAAGGAGGCCCGATCCGCCCGAGGTCACGTGTGTGGCGGCGCCTGGCAGCTAGTAGGTGCTCAGTGAAAGTCAGATCCTCCTGGTGCCGGTGATCGCTCGGCCCGACCGTGCTGCGCTTTCGCGTTTGCGGCGAGAGGGAGCTGACATCTGGTCCCCTTAAGGGGAGACTTTTTTTCCCATATATTTTTTTATTAAGGTATTATATGTGTACATATCTTACCATTTGCCCTCCCCCAACCCATACATGCCCTCCCTTCCCAGAGTTTTGTGTCCATTGGTTACGCTTATATGCATGCATACAAGTTGATCTCTTATCTCCCCCATATCTCCTTTCCTATATATATATATATATTTTTTTTTGTCTTCTCTTGGAATTTCATTAAACTAAGGGTCAGTCAACTGCCCCGCCCCCTCGGATGGTGTGGAGTGAGACACACCTCAACAGAGAGGTCAAAGGGTTCTCCTCAGTACTTATGGCGTCAGACCTCAGAATGCTGCCTTGGCCGGTTTGGCTCAACGGATAGAGCTGTTGGCCTGCGGATTGAAGAGTCCCGGGTTCCATTCTGGTCAAGAGCACATGCCTGAGTTGCAGGCTGGATGGATTCCTAGTAGGGGTCGCTCAGGAGGCAGCAGATCAGTGATTCTCTTATCATTGATGTTCCTCTCTCTTCCTCTTCCTTCCCCTCTAAAATCAATAAAAATATTTCTTTAAAAAAAATAACTCAGAATGCTGGCCTGGAACTCAGAGACACAGTGGATTGATGGTTGCCAGAGGGGAGGACTGTTGGGAGAATGGGTGAAAGAGGTGAAGGGATTAAGAATTACAAATTGGTAGTGACAAAATAGTCACAGGGATGTAAAAAGTACCGCATAGGGAAAATAGTCAACAATACTTCAGTATGTATGGTACCAGGTGGGGAACTATCGAGGGGAACAGTTTGTAAAGTATATGATTGTCTAATCACTATGCTGTACACCTTAAACCAATACAAAATAATATTGAAAGTAGACCATAATTTAAAAATTAAAATTAAAAACAAATGCTGGCCTAGAGACCGAAGACCTGTATTAGTATAGCCACTACTTAATACCTTCAACAAGTCACTTAGCTACTCTGGTCCCGAGTTTCCTCGTCTGCACAGACAAGGAAATGAACTGATTGCTCTGAGCTCACTCCTGGAGTTAATGTTCTATGATTCTCAGCGATTCTCCAAGATAAACTGGAGATTTCCCTAATAAACATCACACTTGGAGGTTTTCCCGGCATAGCCCTCAGGCAGACTTGCTGCCTGTTTTCACCTCTCTGTTTGGAAACCTTCAGTAGGTCAACATAATCCTGGGAGCTGTGACATGGTGTTATAAAAGGTTAATACACGCTCAGAAGGAAGAAGAAACTCTTTGTAATTGACCTGACTTCTTAGGCCCTTTGAGAATAGTGTGATTCTATAAAAATTGCAAAAGGGTGATTAGGGTACCTGAACTGTGTAAGGAGAGGTGAATCTCTTCTCTTACTGCTTCTGTGTGGTCTTTGTTGCAATAGAATTTGGGGAAGCCTGGCTCTTTATGGGACGACCATGAGAAGGGGGTCTGATACTTGGTCTAATCCTGAGTCCAGAGTTTTTGTGCATCCCTGCCTCAGGTCTGCCACTTGACTAGATTGAACAATAGATTATATAGTTATTCTACGCAGGCCACTTTTGAAAGTGAATAGGATCAATGTTAATAATTATACCATGACCAGAATGAGTTTCCAAAACCGTTAATAATAGGGTTTCAGAAACCAGAAGTGGCCTTCTTTCTAGTCAGAGAGTGGTGCCTTCCACTACTGGTGATTTTTTTTTCTTTATTAAAAAAATATTTCTTTAATATTTTTAGAGAGAGGGAAAGAGAAACATCTCCTGCATGCCCCCTACTGGGTGTCAAGCCCAGCAACCCAGACGAATTGAACCAGGGACCTCTCAACCCATTGAGCCATACCGGCCAGGGCAATTAAGTGATTCTTAAACCTCCAACCTTGGTGTGCAAAAGAATGATCTGGAGAGTTTGTTTAAAAAGGAGATTCTCAGACCCCAGCCCCAGAGATTCAAATTCAGTAGGTCTGGAGCTGAAACAGTTGGTCAGACTGCATTTTAAGGAAATGTACTTCTTTTACTTACCTGCCCAGCTCTCCTAAGAAATGTCTTTTGCTAAATATTAAAGTAGCTAACAGATTTAGATGCAATACATTTGAAAGACATTTGAACAACATTATTTGGAACTGATCTCCCTGCAGTACTGGAAAAATAGAGCTTACCAAAAACAAGTTAAGATCTATGCTGATCTATTGTACAGGATCTATCTTACAGGACTTATCATGATAATATCCTCAGATATTCACTTATCTAGCTCTTTCCCTCTTGGCAGGACCTCCCAGCCATCGAGCCCCGGCTGGTAGCCGTCAGCAAAACCAAACCTGCAGATGTGGTGATTGAGGCCTACAGCCACGGCCAGCGCACTTTCGGAGAGAACTATGTAAGAGCCCTTTTCCAAACTTCCTTCGGAAGAGTCATGTTTGCCACACTTCTGATGTGTCTTTTTCTACCCTGTAGGTTCAGGAACTGCTAGAAAAAGCATCAAATCCAAAAGTAAGTAGCTATCTGAATTCTTGAGTTTGCATCTAAATCTTAGCATTTCAGTTGAAAATTAGACCCACGTTGGAGTTTTAGAGCAGAAGGTTGGGTTGGTGGTAGAAATGTCCACAGTCACCTAGAGCCCCAAATATTTCTTATTTTCCTTCTGTATTAAAAGACTAGTTTTCTCCTTTGCAAGTTTTTTAAAATAATGGTTTTTAGGAGCTTGCTGTAATTTTGGATCCTTTTGAGATTTGAAAGCTTTAATCAGTTCATTCTTAATGGACAACATCTGAAAGATGGAGGGATTTGATAAGAATAAGGAAGAGAAAAAGAACAGAAGCTTTAAATGTCTTGCTAAGTATCCTTAGGAGCCTAACTGAAGGTGGTGGTAGTGCATTATTGCAGAGACATGAAAAGTCAGAAGGGAGTGTGCAAAATATTTGAGCCAGCTAGGCCTCCGTTAAATCCACATTAAACTTCTTTACCTTTTTCTCTTCAGATTCTGTCTTCATGTCCTGAGATTAAATGGCACTTCATTGGCCACCTGCAAAAACAAAATGTCAACAAATTGATGGGTAAGATAAACTCTTTATATGAGTATATGATTTTTCTTTTTTAGTTTGTTAACATGTTGAAATACATTTATTGATTTTCAAATGTTAAATCAATCCTACATCCTTGGGATAAATTTTACTTGGTCATGAAGTATTAGCCTTTTAAAATAATGTTGCGTTTTATTTGTTAGCTATTGCTTAGAATTTTTACATCTATATTCACAAGGAACATTCATCTCTAGTTTTCTTTTCTTGAAATGTCTTTATTTGGGTTTCATATCAAGAGTAATGCTGGCTTCACAGAATGAATTGGGAAATATTTCCTCCTTAAGTCTTTTGGAAGAGTTTGTGTGGAATTAGTATTATCTCTTCCTTAACCATTGGTAGAATTTACCAGTGAAACCTTGAGTTTACTTTGTGGCAAGGTTTTTAACTATAGTTTCAATTTCACTAATAGAATTAGGGCTATTTACATAATCTGTTTCTTCTTGGATGAGCATTGGTACTTGTGTCTTTCAAGGAATTTGTCCATTTCATTAAATTAATGAACTTATGGGCATAAGGGTGTTTGTAATTAATTCCCTTTGTTATCCTTTTAATATCTGTAGAGTCTATAGTGATGTCAACTCTCTCATTCCTGATATTAGTAATTTCTATCCTCTCTTTTTTTTCCTAATCTGTCTGGCTAGAGATTTATCAATTTTATCAAATTTTTCAAAGATGAATTTTATTTTTCTCTAATAGTTTATTATAATATGTTACATAAGCAAAAATAATGATGTATTGTGGGGTTTATAACATGTGAAATCAACAACAGCATAAAGAATGGAAAAGAAGAAACAAAGGTACATTATTATAAGTTTTTTAAACTTTACGTGAAGAGGTATATTACTTAAAGGTAGACTGTTATAAGTGAAACTCAAAAGCAGTCAATTGGGGACAATGGGGGATAAGGACACATATGTAATACTTTAAACAATAAATTTTTAAAAGCTGTCAATAAAATAATACAATAAGAGTTATAAGTCAACAAAGATGTTAAAATTGAGTCAAAAAATATGTGAAGTAGTATCTCAGAGTGGTTTTTATTTACATTTCCTAGTGACTAATGAAGTTGAACATTTTTTCATGTACTTATTGGCCCCATTTGTGTATCTTCTTTGGAGAAATGTCTTTTCAAATCCTTTGTTCATTTTTTTAAAATATATTTTTATTAATTTCAAAGAGGAAGAGAGAGGGAGGGAGAGAGAGATAAAAATATCAATAATAAGAGAGAATCATCACCACACTCTGGAGATGGAGCCCGAAACCTAGGCATGTGCCCTGACTGGGATTCGAACTGTGACCTCCTGGTTCATAGGTCAATGCTCAACTACTGAGCCACACAGGCTGGACCTTTTGTTCATTTTTTAACTGGGTTATTTTTTTTTTTTTGAAGTTCTTTATATATTCTAGATACCTTTATCAAATAAATGATTTGCAAATACTTTTTCCTGTTCCGTGAGTTGTCTTTTCACTGTCTTGATGGTATCATTTCTAGCGCCACCAACCCGGAAAGCTTAAGAACGTGGTGATATCATGCCAGAGAAATACTTTGGCTTCCACTTGTTATTCTTTTTTTATTGTCCTTGGTCAGTTTCTCTCCAGTTTGCACTGAGGTTGAATCAGACAAAGCCTGCTATTAGGAATCTCTGCAATTATCAGCTTCTTGGAACATATGAACACATATGCCGCATGATTATGTTATGTCAGGATTTCCCTTTGTTTTTGCTGATTAGACAGCAATAGTTAACACTTTAACTTATATCTAGTAAAACTTTCATATAAGTTTTATTAGCAGAACTGGGACTTAACTGTCTTTTTCTTTTCCTAGGAAATTATTTTTCCATTTACCAAAGATGTGTTGTATGTTGTTTGCTACAGTAGAGTATGTGAAGAATTGCCTTGCCTCTTTCTCATTACAGCTGTCCCCAATCTCTTCATGCTGGAAACAGTGGATTCTGTGAAGTTGGCAGACAAAGTGAACAGTTCATGGCAGAAAAAAGGTTCTTCTGAAAGATTAAAGGTTATGGTCCAGATTAACACCAGTGGAGAAGAGAGTAAGTGACCAGACCTGAATTGTAGGTTTTTCTTCGCTTAGGATGGTTGCTGCCCAGAAAGAGTGGCAGGCCTAATTTATCTGATAGTTAAGGTTATCACAGGGCTTAAGTAAGCTGTGTTATGTAGAATCTAGATGGCAGGATACCCAGTCCACATGGTATTCATTATGATTTGTTATGTCTTAATTTTGGAGGAGGCAAACAGGGAGAATCAAGGAGATTGTGATGTTGATCTGAAAATTCCCAGAAGTCACCATCACTTCTGAAAGAGATTGCAAAGTTACATGAGAAGTTACTCTTCCTGGGTCCTGAAAAATAAACTACTTAGTGATACATTAGGAGAAGATAGAAGGAAAATCACTGTGAGCACCAGGCAGTGAATGTCTTCCCAGGCTTGGTTAACAGTGTAGCACAGTGAACAACAGAGCATGGGCTTTGAAATTAGACAAACCTTGGGTTTGAGTTCCACCACTTTCCAGCTTTGTAATCTTGCATAAGTTACTTAACCCCTCTGACCTCAGTTTCCTTGTCAGGCAGTGAAATAATAATAGTACCTACCTCACAGGGTGTTGTGAGGATTGAATGTGCTAATCAGGTAAAGCTGTTGCCATAGAACCCTGTACACATTTTACTTGTTAGCAATTTGTTTACAGATCACTCATATGCTTTCAACCATCAGAGCATATGACTGATCTGTATTAACCAAATCTTTGCCTGAAGGAGTTCAGTATTTGCATCTGTTTTCCAAATAGGCCCTGGAGTCAGCCTTCCTGGATTCAAATCTTAGTTTCATAGCTTCTGTTTATATGACTTTGGAAAAGGTACTGTACTTCCCTATGCCTCATGGTTAGAATAGTGATAGTAAGAGTATTTGCTTATTAGAGTTATTGTATTAAATGAAAAGCACTTAGGATTTACCACTTGTGTCTGACACTTAAGTAAATATATACATACACACACACACACACACACACACACATATATATATATATATATATATATATATATATATATATACACACACACACACACACATATACATATACACACACCTAGGTTATATATTACATTATCAGTGTAGTTAAATCTGAAATTGACTCTAGATCAAATCTGTTACATCACTTCTTGATAATTAGCTATAGTTTTCCCTAATTAAATTTTGAAGTGAATGTTCTTAGCATCTCCAAATGAGGGAAAGACGGTATAAGTAGCCTTATAACTGCATAATAAATAATCATTTGTTACAAATTCCTCCTCTAGCTGTTAATTAGAAAGTTCTGTTAAATTTAGCAAATCATATAGTCAAAACTGTGTCATATGAACTTTATTTTAAATTCTTTACAGTTTTGCTAATAAATTACTAAAACTATAGAAATAACATATTTGGAAAAATAATTCTCAGGTTAACCTGGCATTTTTACAATGAGGATCTTCTTGATGTCCCAAGTAAATATATGTGGGGTTTTTATCTTTTCCTTATACCGTAGCTGTTTTCAGCTCAGATATTGAGATCAAATAGAGTTCAATTTATAGTTCTTCCCTGGAGAAATTCAGAATCTGATCAGAGAAGGAACTACATAAAGCTCTCAAATGTTACCCTTGGACTTGAGAACAACCTCTTTCCAGAAGTCCCCTAGTCTGAGGGTCACCTTCTCTATTATACGTAAGCAAGAGATGAAAGTGAACCCTTCCTCTGGTTACTTAAAACATTTTGGTTTAAGGGTCTTCTATTTTATTTTTATTTTTTGTGAAGGTAAACATGGCCTTCCACCTTCAGAGACAGTAGCCATTGTGGAACACATAAATGCCAAGTGCCCCAGCCTGGAATTCGTTGGGCTGATGACCATAGGAAGCTTTGGGCATGATCTTAGTCAAGGACCAAATCCGGACTTCCAGGTACTGGGGGGATTGCTCATGTACTAAAGAACTATCTCAGCAAAACGCTGTTTCAGAGCTGGCTAGATATATTACAATAAACTTCAAAGATATCCCAGATGCTGTCTGTCAGGTGTTATAACCCTCTTCCAAACTCTTTATTAGGAAAATAGAACAGGTTCCCGAAACCCCACATTTCTTTCTCAACTCCATTTGAAAATGCCTAAACAAAGTTTTTAGAGAAAATGAGCCCTAGTCAGTTTGGCTCAGAGGATAGAGCATCAGCACGGGGACTGAAGAGTCATGGGTTTGATTATATTATAGATCAAGGGCATGGCCCATATCGGGATGCATGTGGGAGGCAACCATTTGATGCATCTCTTTCACATCAATGCTTTTCTCTTTGTGTGTGTGTCTCGCTCTCTCTTCCTCTCTCTCTCTCTCTCTCTCTCTCTCTCTCTCTCTCTCTCTCTCCCCCCTGCTCCCTTCTGCTCTCACTAAAAATCAGAGGGAAAATATCCTTGAGTGAGGATTAACAAAACAAAAAGAAAATGAGCTCTTTTTCATTCTTCTCCAGTGACTAATAATTTTCTTGAAAGAAGGAAAATTTGCTATAAATAAATAAATAAATAAATAAATAAATAAATAAATAAATAAATAAAAACTTTCAGTAACTGCTGGCAATTTTGATAGGCCTTGAAACCATGAGAAATAAATCATCTTTGTCAGAGATGTTCAGATTCAGCCCCTCTCAGTCATCCTTAGAGAGGCACGAATAAAATGTGTGTCACACTTCTTTCTGTCAGATGTTAGTGTCCCTCCGGGAGGAGCTGTGTAAAAAGCTGAACATTCCTACTGACCAGGTTGAGCTGAGCATGGGCATGTCCATGGACTTCCAACATGCAGTAAGTGTCCTCCTGGGTACCATTTGATGGGAGGGTCCAAATGGCCACAGCAAGCATCAGAGAAACCTTTGAAATGCCTCATTGTAGCAATAGGACATCCAATAGCAATGATTCTCAACTGTTCCAATATTCCCCACCCACTTCTTTTCATAAATGAAAGGTATAGAAATTATCGCCTGACACAGAATTTTTAAACTCGGTATAATTCCCTAAATGGCATCTAAAGGAAAATAAGAAATTAAACTCTAATTTTTTTTTTTCATTGTGTAAATGCTTGGACATAGCTATATGACAGTAAATCTGATGCTTAATCTTACGTGTAAATTCACCATTAATGCAACAGCTATAAAAATACATTGATATGGATGTGCTATGTTGGCAACTCAAATACATGATTTTCTGGAACAGTAAATAACTTGATAAAGTTCTAGAAGTCCAAGTATAGACTTCTCTCTGTGTAGACAGAGGCTGCATTGCTGGAAAATTGTATATATTAAAACAGTACAAAAATGCTTTGTGTTTATAAGTAAAACGGAATTAGATCCTGTGCTGAGACAACAGTAAGGAGGCTTTTTCATCACCTTGACCAGGGAACATTAGAAAGGTGTGTGGGCTGCGAGACAACTACTCACTGTGCTGCTGTGTCGCACACACAGCAGAACGTGTGTTAGCCCTGTGAAAGCCATTCCTAAACACCCCTCGAGGTCATGTTGCCCCAAGGAGAAGCACTGCCGGCCGTCCTCCTAGCCTGCATTACCATCCTCATCGTGGCTCTTGAAAGATAGAATGAGAGGCAGTGCTTCAGCATTGGCTGCAGTTCCTTATTTTAACCTCGGTTCTTGATACTTGCTCTTCTTTCCCACAGATTGAAGTAGGATCTACGAATGTCCGCGTAGGAAGCACCATTTTTGGAGAGCGAGATTACTCAAAGAAGCCTGCCCTGGACAAGTCCACAGCAGACCTAAAGGCCCCCGTGGAGGGGTCCCAGGCACACTGAGCCACAGAACAACCAGTAGTGGCTTGAAGCCCATGAGCCCTGTCCAGGAAGACTAACTATGCACTCATCCGGATTTTCATTTTGATATTCCCCTGTTTACAGCACAACCATGCTCTCCTTGTGACCTGATGAGAGCACGCTGAGGATCATATATATTGATGGAAACCATCTGTATTTTGTGTCTGACGTAGGAAGCTTGCTTCATGTAATGGCTTTGGATTGGATTTGAGAAATCCTGACATTTCTGCAGAACAGATACCAAATCAATGACCGGGAATTGAGTTCAGTATTGAATCCTGTCCAGGAGCACAGTCAACCCATGAATGCCTTTCCCAGCTTAAAATTTGGTCACTGATGCCTATAATGACAGATGCCAGAGTCAGAGGAATTCCCATGTGTCATCCACTTTAATAGAAAACTCCCTGTGATTACCAACTTCATACAAACCCCCACTGGGGAATCATCTTCATTATTCTGCAGCAAGGTGATTTTGCCTGCCTTATCCTACCCTCATTTCCACCCTGCCCAATAAGTATTTGATTCTACTCTGGAATAGCAGTACAGTTAACTTCAGGAAATGGCTCAGGTTAATGCTCCGACCTCAGTGGTTATTGATGAGAATTGGTGTCATTGGTCACCCTGTAGTGTTGACCCTGAAAAGTATAGGGGTAACAGAAATGGGACTTGAGTCTTTTCATCATTCTCCTGAAAAGACAAGACTTTGAGGGTTTTTTTCCCTGGGGCCTACAGTGATAAGAAGTTGATACGATTTCTCGTCCACCATAATTTTCTTTAAGGTGATTTCTTATCAAGGACCAATGAATCATGTAGCTCCCCAGAAATGAAAAATCCCTTCAAAGCCTGTTCAGGTTGACAATATCAACAAAGCCTGACTGTGAGGTTCCTGTTCCTGAGAAGCACTTTCTGGGCACATTTTTAGGCCCTCCCTCCCCTAAATATTGATAACCCAGAACTGCAGCTCTTCTTTGTTAATAGAGAGCAAGCTATTATAAAACCAGAAAGCACACTTCTCAGATAGTCATGACAGATGACTTAGGTCTGGGTTGTTTATTTCCTAGGTGTTTTTTCCTATTTATTCAATCCCCAATCTTTAATTTTATGAAATAACTTTCAGAACAGGATGCTGCTGCCGAATGTAATTTTGTAAAACTTCCACCATTATGATCCCTGCTCTGTTTCAGCCAACAGAATGTGATATTTCAGAGTCTATTAAATAAAAAATGTGAGTTTGAATTATGCCATCTGTGCCCATTACAAAGCAATTAAAAGCTTTATTTTTTTTTATGACCTGGTGTAGTGCATATCATAGGAGGGGGGCATTAGAGCAGACGGGATGCAGCTGTGCCGTCACTGGCATCATACCAGCTGGCTTTTGAGAAGAGTTTCCCATGCGTCACAGATGCAGCCATACCGTGGATGAAAGAGGGGATTCTGAACTTTCAAGGGCGAGAAATTGAAATGGCATTTCAAGAATTACAAAATAGAGGTTACCTACCTCCTACTGCAAGAAACTTAAATGGCCTCTAGATGGCGACATTGGCCAACCTGCTGGGCAAGCACTGGAGCTCCACTGTCAGCAAATTACCTCCCAACAGACACACTTCCTCATAGCTTCTTCACAGACAGACATGGAGGCCAAAGGGGATACAGTTTTCCCAAGTGATATGACTGACTCCAGCAGCGCCACCAGGTTCTTTCAAATGACCTCCTTTGCTAACTCAGCTGAGAGTCCTGACGGTGGCTGTGGAATCCTCTGGGAAAGGTAAAATGGTCTGAGCAAAAAGAGCTCTCTGGCTTGTGCCTAGAGATGGAGAACAACAGTGGTGAGGCATGGGAGGCTGAATCAAACCCGGAAAAGGAAAGGAAAACAAAGTAAGTCTCTCCTGTGTACCCATAGCAGGCCAAACCTTTGCAGAGAGAAAATTGAGCAAAATTATGCTTTGTCTTTTGTACACATGATGAGCAGCAGGTCTGCAAACTAGATTTTCATCAATGCAGTGACAGCATCCTCAGCAGATTACTGAGTTACAACAGCACCTCTTAATACTCAAATTGTTCCACGCCTTTTAAAACATTCATGCACTTAAAACACTACCCCATATATTCTCTCATTTTTCCAGCAGTTGGTTAGGGGAATTTGCCAGCATGTTTGTGGATTGGACAATTGTCTGAAATCAGAGCAGGTTGGGAACAGGGCAAGAAATAAACGCAAGATGATTCCTGGACCAGAGCTTGGCCATTACACCACACTGGCATCTTCTGTTGTCCCAGGCTTTCACAACTTAGATCTACAGGCTCAATTTAAGAGACAGTTATTACCAGAAAAGAAAAGTATGTTTTTAGTCTGTTGTAATTGTTGAGAACTGACACATCTTAATGCAAAACAAACTTTGAAACCACAAGCAGTGAGGATGAGAAAGGAGAGAATTGAGCCCAGCCTGAGTAGAGTTTGCCTCCCCTTCTGTCGTCCCATTTTTCTAACACCGACATTTCTTCCCCCAAACAAACTATTCCACAGGCTTCGAGGCTCCAAGGATACAACACTGTGCCCTTCATCCCCTAGATCCAGACCAGCAGTGAATTCTGTTCTCCAAGGCTGGACAAGGAGGACTGAGGTCGAAAGGGACTTTCCTAAAATTCAAGACATCTCTGTCCTTCCAAAAAAACAGCGGCCCCGTGCTTCCCACCAACGCTGTGAAAGAGGAAGGGCTCGCCCACCAGTTCCTGAAGGGCTGCGATAAGTGAGGGTGGATGTCGTTACGGTGCAACTGGAAATGATTTGCTCTGGGAACTGTGACTGTCTTTACCATGAAATCAGTTGCCTGCTATTACATCAGCCTCGTGACTAACAGCAAAAGAATCCCAACCATCCACCAAGATGTTTTACTAATCTGCCCTCTCCCCTCAGAGGCACATAGGTAGAGAAAAGAGCCTCTTTCCCACCCAGATTGCATGGACAGGCCTACTCCATGGCTGGCTGTGGTTAAGTAGCTATTTACAAGGTAGAGACCCTTATTAAGTTTCTCTCTGTAATCACTTCAAGGTCCCAAAGGACCTCAGAACTAACATTTTTTTCCCCCTATAAAGTCCAGCAAAGATGAGCTGAGATGGCCTGTGGTGGGGGCGGGGTGGGGAGACACTCTGGGCATCTTTCTTCTATTGAAAGTATATTTTCCAAGCTCAAGCGCCTGAGCTTTGAGATCACAAAGGAGCAGAAGCCACCCTTGGAGTATGGGGTGCCTTCTAAACCGTTCCTTCCCACTGGCTGGCTGCGCCTACCCCCCTCACCCCCACCCACCCCCACCCCCGCCTTTCCCCGCGTGCGCACCAGCCTAGGGAGCTGTGCTGCTCTGCAGCTTTAGAGCTACGCTTGACCCAGCTGCCAATCTCCAAAATAAAATCAATGTGTGACCTTATTCACCAGCTGTACCGAAGAAACGAGCACAAATGAGGGCCAACTTTGAAGCCAAAAAGGGAAGATGAGATGTTGGGAGAGGGAGAGAGAGAGAGAAAGAGGGGGGAAAAACTTGGCTGGACATGAAAGGTGTCTTGTCTGTCTGTTCCCCATTAGGCGCAATTCTCTTGCAATCTGCAGCCTCAACATTTATTCTCTTGACCAGAAACTCTCCTGAGAGAGAGTGTCAGAAGGAAAAACAAACAGAATAGCATCTCTGACAGCAAAGTCACTTAAAAACCTATTTGTGGGGGTGGGGTGCGATGAAGGGGGCCATGTCAGCACGTGGGGGAGGGCACTCCTCCGCAGCAGGCCACCTGTGGAGACACATTTACCCTGGGAAGGGACAAGGACAGGACAGGAAGAGGAGCCCGGGAGAGGGCTGTGTGCAAAGCCAAGGCCAGCCCCAGGAAGCAGAACTCCCAATCTTCTGCCCTCCCAGCCCCTCTGATGTTGCAAGGTCCGCCTGGGTGCCTTTCTCTGCTGTGCTCTCAACACACAATCCCCGGTACCGGGCTTCTGTGGGCCCCGTGGTGCATGGAGAGGACCCAGAGGATTGCTATAGGAAAAAGGGGTCCCCGTTTGTCCTAACGTCCCTTTCCCATTTCTGACTGCCTACCAGCTCTCCCTGTCAGCTGGCAGCCGCAGCTGGCTCCCCAGGCAGCAAAGGCCCTTCTCCCTAAGCCCCTGAGACCTGCCTTTGAGCTAAGCTGGCTACTCGGGAAGCCAGGCCCCACCCTCTCCGGCAGGAGCTCAGTGGGTGAGGATTCTGGAGTGAGGGGTGCGGGGCGGGAGAGGGCACCGTTCTGTGCTCAGGTTTCTGGGGCAGACATCCTGTTATAGGAGAGAACTTCTTTTAAAGGAAGAAAAACTAATCAGAAGAAAGAAGCAAGAGCCTTTCCCTGCCTTTCGGACTTGTTTATTACTAGGATATCTGATTTCAGCAGAGGAAGCCGGCACTGAAGCAAGGTTTTTATTGGCCGTGAGCAAGAGGAATTCAGGGTTTGCCTTTGATTTGGCTTCCCCAGAACATGAGGCACTGAAGAGTGCTCACTGCTTTGATGGAGCTCAGGACTTTGCGGGGTGCGCCCCCCCTCCACCCCCAACTACGTTTTCTGAAGCACCCACTAAAATTCCTTTGCGGGGGGGGGGGGGGGGATGAGGGTGAAGAAGGGGCCCCAGAGAGGAAGGCGGCCTCATAAACATTTCAGAGAGGAGAGCAAAATAAGGGACAAAGGTAAAAAGTTCTGAAATTGGCTCCAGGGGAGCACAAGTGAGGCCATGCTAGCCGCCCCCCTTCCCGGAGTGGGGATCTGGAGGAGGGAAGGTCTGGTTTGGATGAAAGCTCAGTGTCTCTAGCAGACAGAGCGAGGCAGGCTGCAGTCAGGCCCGGCCTGATGGTTTCAATGTGTGAGGAAGATAAAGGCAGAGACCCGCAGAGGCAGCCTCTGCCAACAGCACTCCTCACTCGCTGGAGCCTGGGCCCAGGCTGGCCTATGGGGAGGCGGGGTTACCAGCTGGGCTA